GTCTAAAAGCCTAAATACTCAATACCTAACCACACCTCTTAATTTAAGGAGCTACTTTCACATTCTCTAAATGTACAACTATTAACCTACACGGTAATATCGTGTTTACCATTATTTGGATGTACGACTTTTTTTTTACTATTAACACTTAAATCACCATTCGTACTCTACCTTACTTCAAGTTCTACCCTCTTTACACATAACCAGTAAAACAACCAAAGTGAAATCCACTTAAATACTTTTGTCTATAACTTATATTATACATAATTTTTATTTGATGTCATATTCTATTAATTGCTATTAAGAAAGTATTTATAGCCGATTTCAGATTAACATTAAAAGGTAAAAAGTGTGTCTTTGTTTTTTGCACTGAAGTTGATCTTGAGAACTTTTTAAGGCTAATAAAGGCCTGGTTTTGTCAAACAAACAAATAAGAATCAGTTAGTTCTCAATTTAGATTTTTTGGCTATGATTGTGGAAACAGTCAAGGAATCTGGCTGATGTTAAAGCGCTCATTGGGCAAAGTATGTTAAAACTCTAAGTCCAAGAGCTAATTTTTAAAACCATGTTCAAATAGTATGTGACTAAAATGAGCAGAACAGTGGGCCTGAATAACTTTGAGTGTCAACCTTCAGTAATAATGAAGATCATAAAACATGAAAGAAATGGATGGAGAATATGCAAATGTGAATACCATTCATCAACACATCGGGCCTCTTTGGGGTTTGGCCCCTCAGGGGCCGGGCTCTGGATGTTCTCTTCTGCCCTTCTTTGCTGGGTGCGGCCATCCCTATGTCTGTCCTCCTTATGTTCCAGTTATCTGGGGTACCTCTGGATAATGGGGCTCGCATTGCCTCTTTTACTTTCCAGGACCCTGTAGGGCGAGTCCGGGGCAGCCCATACCTGCTATAAAGCATATTTTCCTTCTTAAGAAGCTGTGTAAATCCTTTATACACGAGCATGCCCATGCATACAAACCACAGGAGTTAGGTTCCAGGTGTTCACAGATACACACTAATATGAAATACTTAGCTGCAGCTACAGATATATACTACCCTGAATAATGTTGTGTAATCACCATAGGTTTTGCCTTCGACACTAAATAGTTTTTCAAGAATAGAGACTCTGACTTAGCAATTTATTTATTTTTTTACCCATTTTATATAACATTTAGCAGTCTAATGACAGGGGGGAACACTGAAAAAATATTGCAACAATTTTGGCATTTACTCAATCATCTTTAGTTACTTTAACCCAATAGTTACACGTTAGCATGGTAGGACATAAAACAATCATGTTAAAGTAACCAAATATGACTAAGTATATGCCAAATCCGATTGCATTATTTTTTTTCAGTGAAGAAACTGCTCTGGAATCTGCTGGACCTGCATCGGATGCTTCAAACCCTCTTCCCTGAGGGCAGCAGGGAGAACACTCCATGGTGGGGGTGTGAGGGGTCATTGATGATGTTACGGGCTCAGGACACGCAGCGCTGGGATGAAATGTCTTTAATGGAGGGAAGAGGAGCCCTGATGATCTTCTCTGCTGTTCGTTCCACTATTCTCACCTTCTTCCAGTCTGAGGCGCTGCAGCCTCCACACCACACAGTGAGACAGCTGGTCAGAATGCTCTCTATGGTGCTTCTGTAGAAGATGGTGAGGATGGGTGGGGACAGGTGGGCTCTCCTCATCCTCTGCAAGAAGTCCAAGCGCTTTTGTGCCCTTTTGATCAGTGAGGGGGTGTTTACAGTCCAGGTGAGGGTGTCTGTGATGTGCACCAACAGAATTTTTGCTGCTGACAACCTCTACAGCTGAGCTGTTGGTGACCAGTGGAGCGTGGTTAGGCCGGTTCTTCCTGAAGTCCAAGATGATCTCCTCCTTCGTCTTCTGCACATTCAGAATCAGGCTGTTATCTTTGCATCAGTCCACTATCTGCTCCTCCTCCTCTCTGTAGTCGTGGTCGTCATCGTCTCTGATGAGGCACATCACCTGGGTGTCATCTGCAAACTTCATGATGTGATTGGTGGTAAACCTGGGGACCCATTCATGTGTTATCAGGGTGAACAGCAGGGGCCTCAGGACGCAGCCCTGAGGGGAGCCTGTGCTAGGGTGATGACATCAGACGTGTCCAGTACGCCCTGGACAGACTGAGGTCAGTAATAATAGGTCAAGATGAGGCATAGTTAAATTTGACATTGTTGCCATTAGTTATACAACTAAGAAAATTAAGTATAAGAAAATTACCATCGAGAATTTTTTAAACATTTTCCTTTAATGGGCTAGTGCAGTAAAGCATCTCTCCTTAACATTTTAAAGTACTTTTAAAAATGGTACTTTAACACTTTTACTTGAGTCAAAAGTTTAAGGTTGATACTTTACCTTCCAGAAAAGTATTTAGAAACAGTTTGGTTTTTACTTCTACTTGAGTAATAAATATTAATACTTTTGACACTTATGTTCTCTATTTTACTTCCCTTTTATTCTCATCTCATACAAGCATGGAAGCAGACTTCTAGGAGTTGCTGTATATCTTCTGTTTTCTATTTTTGCTATTTTGTTCTTTCTCTCTTTCTTTTCATTTCCTGTCTCTTTTTCTCTCCCCTTAGTTATTTTCCCCTCTTTCTTTCTCACCTCCCTTTCCATCTCTGCGTCCGTTGTACATGATTTAACTCCTGAAATAGTTTTCAATACATTTTCACATAGAACTGTCAAGTGGTGGAACCTTATGGCAAAAGTCATAATGGTCTGCTTGTGAAAACAAATCTGTTGGGCTATCATCTAGCTCTGGGACATCTATTCCCAGGACTATATTGGCAAAACAGGACACAAAAAACAAACAAAAAAACTAATTATGGTTGCAGTTTCCTTTAACATTTTCAAGCTTGACGTTTGGTGCAAACTCCCCTGCAAAGATTTCTGTGGTTATTGTGGCCTCAAAGGAGGCATTGGTACGATGACAAAAACAAGGTTGAAAAACTTTCTGAGTGAGGGAACATATTTGAATAGTCAGAAATTAAAACAATAGATTAGTATTAGAGCTTAAATACAAGTTTTGGACAAGCATCATAAATAAATGCTGGTGAAAAACCTTCCTGGATGGAAGGACTCTGTTTCCAAGTTTTCAAAGGACTCCAGTGGATTGTTGTAAAGGGAGATTACAGGCTCAGGGAGTTTCAGGTTTAAGGCGGTGCTCCTGTAAGTGCTTATCCCTTATTTTTCCCTTACAGCGGTGGTCTCAAACTCAACTCCTCAAGAGTTAGTGCTCTGCAGGTGCTAGGTTTGTCTCTGCTTTAACACATCACACTTCAATATCACCTCATTGGCTTTTATTGTCATTACGCTCTGCATTTAACCATCCCCCTTGCATTTAACCATGGGCAGCCATTGTGTGGCGCCTGGGGAGCAGTGTGCAGCTAAGGGCCTTTTTTGCTCAGGTACCCAGAGGGGCAGTCTGTGGGAGTGGGGCTTGAACTCAGATCCCCAGCATTCCAACCTCTTTGCCCTAACCACTAGGCCACCACTCCCTGTATGCAGTGTTGGTATGCATTTCACATCTCTGTTACTACATGGTCTATTCCTGCTGCACTGGCTTCAATGGCACGGTTGCCATCTAGCCTTATAAATAGCCAGTTTTCTTCCAGAGAGCAGGTGTTGAGACAGATCACATCTACATGCAGGGACTGTTACATAACCTCACAAGGGAAATCAGTTAAAACCTCTGTGCTATAAAATAATTCACATGGAGTATCAACTTTGTTGCAGTTTGTGACCTTTCTATAGTGTTTGGTGAGTTTAATCGGTAGATAAATCTAAAGTATAGCATCATTTCAAAATGGAAGCAGAAGGATATACAATTAAAAAGAAACTAAAAACTAGGATGCCTAATGTTAGTCTAGGACTGCAGCTGTGCACTGGATTTATTTTTTGGTGTGAGGAATTAATATAAATACTTGTGGCAAGATTTTTGTCTCAAAAAAAGAAAAAATTACATCCCCTCATAGCTTGATTTAAGCTCACACCACAAACCACTTTTGATTTTTTTTTTTTTTTTTTACATATAACTTTGATAAAATAGCATCACATTTTGTGGCTGTAACCTGAAAAAAGGGCTATGAATCCTTTAGCCAGGCTCCCTCTGTAAGTGAAAGTAGGTGTGTATTTCATTTCCTTTGCTACATGGTCTATTTTATCTGCATTGGCCTCCCTGACACATTTGCCATCTGGCCTTATATATAACCATTTTTTTCCCAGAGAGCAGCTGTTGGGATAGACCACATCTATACACTACTGATGAGGAACTGTTGCATAACCTTATTAGGGACACCAATTAAACCTCTAGTTATAAAGTGATTTTTTTCTTTTTTTTTAGGACAAAATCCATAAATTTTAGATTTTAATCGCTTTTTACATCAATAAATATAAAGCTCACAAAGGTTTTCTGATAATTTTTAATAAATACTGTACAGTAATAATGATAAAACATTCTAAACAACATTGTCCATGAGTTTCCTTTAGAACTGAAGTAATCTAAACTAGAAAAGCACTCTCAGAGTGCAGAACTCCAACAAGCAGAACATTTTGCCCCATATTGTGACTTACACTAATAGCTAAACATTGCACATGATCTGGATCATTACTGAATTCTAATGAATTGTTCCTTGGCATGAGGTGCCCCTTAAATAATAATTTCCTTAAAATCCTTTTATAAGTTTATCAATAAGGCACAGCATGTGTCTGCAGCCTCTGGTGTTTGTTCTGCTCTCACCTTCTTTATTCACTCTGCACTCTGATTTCTTGTTCGACTAGCAGATTGAGAATTTGTTTTTGTATTCAGTATACTTCTGAGGCCCATTTCACAAAGGAGGTTTAAAGGAAAAGTCCGGTCAGCAAGGAATGATCATTGGATCATTATCTATACATAATACCTTTGCGGTGATTTAATGAATTTAGTGTTAATCAGTAACAAAATAAAAATTTTCGTTGCATCACTGAGTCTGGTAACACCTCACTCAGTGCGGTAAGCCTAGCACCATTCCCCCCGCTTTACAAGCAAAATCAATGGGATCTACTAGACACATCTGCAATCAACAACAATTAGGACTTCATCATTGAAATTCATGAGAGCCATAGTTAAACTGACAATGCCCATGCGGTAGTTGGAAGCTGTAACATATCGGGCAAAAGTGAAAAAAAAAATGTTATTTCACCTTCCGATTCATGATCCACCACGGGTTTGTCGTGGGATTGCCAACTTAAAGAGGGAGGATTTATCATCAAACTTCTGGCCAGAGAAAAAACACGTAATATGTAGCAAACATTTCGAAGAAGAATGTTTTCAAGATGACTTGGATAATAGTGCGTAGTGACTAACACCAGATTAAGCATTGAGACTTGCTCAAGAGCCGATACCGCACTGTGACATCACAAACCGGTAGTTGCCAGTAGTGTTATTTGACAAACATGGATGTCTCTGGTAAATCACATTGAAATGAAAATTACTCTTAATTAAAAACACTTATCATTTATTAAACTGTACGTAATAATTTCTTGAATAAATTACTTTGAGAAGTTTGTAATCATGAATATGACCAGACTTTTCTTTTAACAAAGTCAGCTTAAATACTCAAATCTGAATTGATCTCACCTGAGGTTCGAAACTGTGACCTTTTAATTTCACAAAGGCTGCTATGAGTTATTTCAATCAACTTTTTAGTAGGTTCACGCAGAGTTGAACACTTGCGTAACAACTATGAAAAGCTATTATCAGTGGAGCCCCAAGTCGACAAGTCACCATGACAACAGGCATCAGGAAGTGCCTATTTCACAACACATGAACTAGAGATGTTAATGCAGAAATGAAAAAAAATTGGAGAAAGTGTTTAAAAGACAGAGCAACAGCGCTACAGCTGCAAAGGAATGGCAAATGGGATAGAAGATTGCTACTTGAGTTAATAATGTGCAAGTCTATATAAAGTGGGCTACGGCAGGCTGTTTTAACATTTATTAATTAATGAGTTGTTCCATTTGTAGATCACTAAAATAGGATTGTTTCAGGTCAAAATCACATTCCTATTCGGAACTGTGATACCAGATTTTCTAAATTTAATTTTTGCAGTAGAACCTAAAATTCAGAAAGTAATAAAACTAAACAAAATTGCAATAGTAAGAATTAAGCCTTATATACCTATAAATGTCCAAGCAGGTTACAAATTTTACTGTTTTGACATGCATCAGGTTGAATGAATGTTTTTATTCTGACCAATAAGGGTAGTATATGGAGATCTAAAATCCCTTTCTAGACATCCTGAATGTTTATTTCATATATGAGGAATGTCATTTTGTTTGAAAAGTTTATTTTGACAAGGAAAAATTTATTTCAGGCATCAGAAATATATATTCATACAAGGTGATAAATATCAAAACAGCCTGCCCAAGTGCGAGTTATGATAGCATTACAGGGGAAAACAGTTTATTAGTTGAATGATAGTGGATAAGTAATTTACATTTAGGTAAAATTACAGGAGGGAGGAGCACACCTGTAAGCAGGTGAAGAGGAAGTCTAAAAACGTTGTTCAAACAGGTAGTACCTGTGCATTATAGAAAACAACTCTGTGGAATTGTTTCCTATAATACTCTTGTCACATATCAATATTCTCTGATTGATATCAAGTTCTTTTAAATGTCTGAAGAAGTCTGTGTAATGCTGCAAATGTATGAACAGATAAAGTCTTGATAATGTGGAGAAACGGTAGCGTCATAAAAATAAATTTCTGAATATAAAGCACATGTATAAGTGGTCTAAGAACCTTGTCTATATTTCTCTTTAAATTAGCTGCTCCTTCTTTAATTGGATCCTCATCCAAAACGACACACTATGTTTATGTTTTTAACACCTAATGTGTCTAACAGACCTAATTAATAATTATCTTTTTATCGTTTGCACAAAACTACAACATAACTCTCCTGACTAAATCAGGAAATAAACAAACATGCTGAGCATTAGGGAGAACAGAGTTTACTGAACAAAACCTGCTCCCGACCAGGTTAGCTCTAGGGGGAATGTTGCTATAGTAACAGAAACAGAAGTTTAGTAAATTCTCTTCATGAAAAGGAAAACTATATAGTTTTCCTTTTCATATATACTATATACACTATATAGTCCACACTCTATATAGTGATTGAGGGATTTAGAGGCTAGGGTGGACGTTTGAACAGTCTTAGTTTTCAGTAATCTGTTCTGTGAAAAGGTTCCCTGGTCTAGCCTCTCTGGTTTGGGGGGGAACTGCTTATCCTGCCAAATAATGTTAAAGAATCTTTTAAAATAATGCTGCATCTGGATTATGACGTGGTCCAACACCAAAATTTAATGGATTGTTCCTTTGACTGAGGTGCACCTTTGGTAAAAAAAAAAAGTTAATTAAAGTCAGTTCCTAACTTTCACTTTATACTGTACATAGACAGACAAACAAACACACAAACTCTCCTAAGAAACATAACCTCCTTGGCCGAGGTAACAATATGTGCCCATAAAGAAATGTCAGTGAGTGGAATAACTGTTTCATAGCAGCTGGGGGTGTTATCGCTTCAAGATAAACAAACTGCGGAGTTGATAAAAGAAATCTTCGTCTTTGATACTGTTTGCTCTGCGGTGCCCATTCATATAATCCCATGCACAGCGTTTGCAGTAGTTGTAGAAATGGCTCTCAGCTTTTTTCAGGGTGCTGTTCAGGTCCAATCTTCCCTGAAGACTGAAAAGGAAAGTCATTACAAGGAAAAACTAAAACAAATATGTTCTATATTACCCTTAGGATCAAACCTGCTGGTGAACTGGATTAGCTGCACGTCATCTCTGCACTGGAGTAGCGGCTCCCTATTATCCAACAGCACGGCTGCACAGATGAAGAGCTCAAAGGTGAAGTCTGTGTTGAAGGTTTGCTGTGGTGACTCTGAACCATCTTCTGAAAACAATGCAGGGTAAAGACACAGAGATGGGAAATGTTTCACACCATAAAGTTGTCCTTCTTTTCCCCCTGTGTATCACCTGTACAGTGTTTTTGGTCCAGTCTCTCCTGATATCGAGCACGGTCAACCTTCTGTGAGATTAGCTCCAAATGGTCACAGCTCAGGATTTCAAACAAACGTAATGCGTCACTGTGCTTAAACTCCCTTTGAAAACCCAGCAAGAGCCATCTAAATGAAAAAAAAAAAAATGGGAACATATTTTAAAAAATGGCTCCCTGATGACAAAAACATCAACAAAGGTATTTTCAAAATATATAAAAAAGTTCTGACGCTCTACCTGTGGCAGAATGTAAAGCGCTCCATGTTGTCTCTGACTAGATGAGCATAAAGAGGAGGGTCCAGTTCCTTCAACAAAGCTGCCTCCAGTTCTAAAATACAGCAAATTCAACATTTTCAACTGAAATCAAACTGGTCCAAAAGAAACACACTTTATCTGAACCTTCATATCAAAATTTTATTACTTAACAACATTAGCCTCAAAATGAAGGCGATATATGCTCCAATGTCTTTCCCAAACTTAACACACAATTTTCTGAGCCTTTACTTTGTTTGACCACTAGAGGTCTCAAACACTTTCTGTTGCAATTAGAAATAGAACATGGCATCACAAGACTTTGAGCAAATGCATTGTTTCAGTAATGCATTTTATGTTCTGTGCTCCATTTCAGTAAAATATAATCAGCTTTGGTGAATTTGAACACATTCTTATTAATCCTCCAGCTGTCCCTCTCTCCACAGCAACACATATGTTTCCATCTAACCCTATCTTCTCCGTAGGGTTTTGGCCTGCTGTGTTTCTGTAGGCATGTATATGTTAGTTTACACATAAGTATGTAGATGTATCTCTCTTTCTATATATATATATATATATATATATATATATATATATATATATATATATATATATATATATATATATATATATATATATATATATATGTGTGTTGGTATATAATTGTATATATTTTTTGTGTGTGTGGGATTATTTGATAAAAAAATAAAACAAGTTTAACAGGAAGGTTACTCTACTTTAAATTAATTTAAGTGTAATTAGAGTGAGAGGGGGTATGAAAAATAGGTTTTACTTTTTAATACCCCTTTTCATTAATGAATGTCATTATTCTGGCTGTAAGTACCGACAGGTTTATTAGCTGGAGGGTTTTGTTTCTATTTATGTTCAGATAAGTTTCGTTAATTTGGAAATTGGCTTTTGGTCTGGTTGATGTAAACTTGACGCTTTTGATTCATCATTGTTATTTATTGTTCGTCAAAAATTGTCTGAATTAAATTCCCATTCATTCATTCATTCATTCATTCATTCATTCATTCATTCGTTCATTCATTCATTCATTCATTCATTCATATTCCCTGTCACATCAACTACTCTAATTTTCTCTTTAAATTCATCCATAAATCTCATCCTTGCTCTTCCTCTCGGCCTTCTGACTGGCAGCCTTAACATCCTTTTTACGCTGTAAAAACCCTGCGGTTGTCTATCCCTCCTCTTTACTGGTCCAAATCATCTTAATCTGGCCTCACTTGGTTTACCTCCACAGCGTCTAACATGAACCTCTGATGTACTAATTTCTTATCCTATCCATCCACATTGTTCTTGAAGAAGCAGATATGAAGAACCTTAACTTCCTCATATCTGCTTCCTGCTGTCTCTTGCTCAGTGCCATCGTCTCTAAACAATACAACATTGTACAGTACAAAACAACATTTCCTTTCAGTCTTATTGATTATATTCTGACATAAAACACCTGATACTTTTGCCAACCATTACAACCTGCTTAGACGTTTTAACTCTTTTCCTCACTCGCTGTTGCTTTGTACTGTTCTGAATACATAACAATCTCCACCTTCATTTCAGCTCCCTGTAACGTCAGGCCTCCACTTTAGTCCTTCTCATTCACACGTGTGTAATCTGTCTTGCTAAAACTAACCTTCATTCCTTTTCTTTCCCTGGAAATCTCCAACTCTGTAGATTTTGCTCCACCTGCTAACAAATGTTTTGCTAATCTGTTGATTATTTTTTTTAGATTAATTGATTAATAATCAGATAGCCAAAGAGACTTAAAGAAGACCTTTTGCAAAATCAAAACAGGGGAAATTAAACTTTTCTACTTGAGAAGTTCTGCATAGAGCACATTGATAGAAGAAAAAGATTTTTATCTTAAATGCAAAATGTTTACATATATATATATATATATATTTCCTTTTGGTATAACTGCTGCACAAGAGGAGTTTCTCTGTCAACTAAAGACATGTATTGCTCTCTTAATTCAAGTTAATGATAAATCGATTGCTAAATTAGTTTTAGATTAATCACGATTAATCAGAATAAATTTCTCATCATCTATAAACACCTTAGTTAACAGCGATTCCTTTTTAATTCCATCTGTCAATCTGTCAATCACCACAGCTAACAAGAGGAGAGTCGACTATTCCTAACTTGCTAAAAGAGCACAACAACTCCTCTCTCAGCATCCGGTCAAATGCTTTCTGTAGGTATAATAAAAACACTATGCACCTTTGTACCTCTCTATCAAAATCCTCATATCAAATACAGCATCTGTACAGTAGTTATTTTTCTTGGCATGAAACCATACTGCTTTTTCCAGATGTTGACTTCTGTCCTTGGTCCTCCTTCCCCAACTCTTCCCGATAACGATTGTATGACTCATCAACTTTATTCCTCTTAAGTTTCCAGACTTCTGCACATCTTCCTTGATTTTGAAGATTGGTACAAGCACACTTAACCCCCGTCCTTAATCGTCTGTTCGCTCTCTAAGATTTCAAAAATCTTGTTAAAAATTAGACTGTTGTCTGTCACAGACACCTCCCTACCTCCACAATGTATGTTATTTAAAAAAATTCCTTTTAGCAAGAGGTTCCTAAAACTTAAAAAAAACTGTGTTTTTATCACATATGAAAAATACATATTTACCTGTTTAGAAAATATTTGTTTAAAAACAACAGTTTATATTCCTATATAAATAAGCTACATCAGGGGTAACCAATTAAAAATCAGCGGGGTCTGAATAAAGACAATCATCAACCTGTAAAGTTCCAGAGACATTTTAAATTCTAATCTGTTACTTTAAACAGGATTTAACACTGAAATAAAATTAGGTTTTTATGCATCCATTTTATACATTGAATTTTATATATATATATATATATATATATATATATATATATATATATATATATATATATATATAAAACATTTTTCCACTTTAAAGTCAATTTTTTTTTTTTTAAGTAGAGAATGACAATGGTATTTAGACAATTTCCTGATTTACATATTTTAGAAAACATATTTTATGGCTTAATGAGAGAAGTGGCCTTTCCGCTGCCCTCCAAGGCTTTAAAACTGGGTTTGATTGGTAACAAAGCCATTCTCAAGCATATATCAAGGTGCTCATTCGAGAGCCCGGATCAATATTTATTTTTGACTATGGTCATAGCGGGGCATCCTGCCTCACAGCCGCAGGTTGAGCCAAGGCTTGCCACAGGTTTGCCTCATGTGCAGCCTGATGCCGGACGCTTCGGGGGGGGGCTTTACCATGTTAACAGGAGAAACGGCGCAGGTGAAGTTAGACACTGTCGTCGAAACAACATGCAGTATTTTATAAATGTTTTAATCAGGTTGGGTCTTGATTGACCAGCAGCGGGGTGCGGATATGGACCCAGGTCCGCTAATCCTTGACCTCTGAGCTACATCATTAATAATCCATGTGGCTGGTTGAATATCGGTCGCTGTTTTGTAGCATAAAGAAGCATAGTGACTATCTATGCCTACACAAAAAAGACCAAAAACCTTTTCATAGTGATGCAATGAGAGCCAAGGGTCTGTTCTGATAGTATTTAGATGGACCTTTTTACACCTAAGTAGAATTCCATCACTGAGAGAAATGAGCTGGTATAAACAGACATGGCGCCACCTACCATCAATAATGCAGAACTATCAGCAAGCTGGATGGTGGCAATCCTGCAATGTCTCATGGGAAAGTGACAGCTCAGTGTGGTTGAAGAACAACCAGTATTATTTGGATAAACTGATCAACAGCAACTCTAAGTTTTGCCTAACCCTCCTCAGAGTCTCCTACTAGAATATCAAGAAAAAGGAAATTCCTTTTTCTTCCAAATGCAAACAGCGACACAGCATGAGTGTAAGCAACACTTCAGTTAAATAAATTTCAAAAATCATAAGCTAAAACCATTTAATTGTAATAAACACAAATTCAATGCATTAAAATGCAATTTATTCGCCAAGAAAGTTGTTAATGAGCCCTGAACGGAATCTGATCTTGAGTAGTTTTCTGATTTTACCAGCTGTGACAGAAAAATGCCCACCATGACGCCATTTTATACAAGTACACTAATGTGACACTTTGAAAGAAAAACAGACTGACCAAACATTTCCTTTCTAAGTGGAAATATAAATTCTCTTACGGCAGCTCCTCTGGTAGATTTCCTCACATATTATTTGAAATTAACAAAGTTCTTTTTTCAAAAAGTGAAAGGATTCAATTACAATGAAGGTCAATAAAGAATTTATTGTTTAATATGTTGAGTGCCTGTTTGTATAATGAGGTTTGGGAGTTCCTAGGAAACCTGTTCCTGCTTCGATTCTGCCTTCAGATAATCACTCCTGACTCTTCTGCTCCTCCTGCCTGCTCTGGCTTCTGCCTGTTGCTGCTCTGCTTCGCTCCTGAACCTCTGGAAGCTGCTTCCACCACAAGCTACAGAGATACAATCCCTCCCAACTTCACTCTGTCTTCTGGGCTCAGATTGAACTTTACCAGAGTATCCATATAACCTGTCACTCCCAAGAGCAGCCACATGTGAGTTCAATAATAAACACTTGTTTTGTAATTAATCTGATCTGTCTGCTGGGATTCTGGGTCCTATGTTCTACAGTATGTAAGCTTCTGACATATGTTGCATTATGCTCAGTGTAAAATGTGCAAAGGTGGTTGTTCACAATTTAAATATTAAATTTGATGTTTTGCAAGACTAACAACAAAAATGATCCTAATTGATAGAATCTAAAACAAGTTCAATGGTAAAAGCAAAGGAAAACTTTATAACTAAACAAACTAAATCAACTGGTACAAAGATGATTGATGCAAACAAAATCACTTTTCTTTTTGTTCGCCTCACCTATTTTTCTGTGCAGGCCATCGGCCATGAAGTCTCTGGAGAACTTCTCCATGTAGCAGGAAAAACTCCAGAAGGTGTCCACCTCACAGTCTAGGACCTCCAAGAATCGACTGCACAGGTCATTCATTCCCTGGGCATAGCCAACCTCTGCAGTAACAGCAAGGAGCCAAAAAGTTATTTGATCAGCAAAAATCTTTAATGTGGACAGATTCTGTCTTATTACCTGGATGAAAAGCAGCATAAGTGATGAGGATGTTTCTTAGCACCAAAAGATTGCCTAAACCTTCCTCTCTGCCAACAAAAAAAGTAACTTGTTGAAAACCTTTGAAATGTTCAGGACTATTTTTCTCATTAAATATTTGTATTAAAATGCAAAAGTTAAATGAAGATATGAGTTTGGGAATTTTCATTTATTTATCTATGATATAAAAAATATTTGAAACCTCAAACAGATATTACTGCTGAGACAAACACAGAAATAAGGAATAATTGATCAAAGTTTTAAGTAAACAACAAGTTAACATAACTTATCAGGTAGAGGTAGCATGAGGTGTAAATAAACATGACGGTAACAGCTTTTATCAGTTAGGATGAAGCCTGAGAAACATATAGCATAATCAGAAAGGAAGACTGCCCAGCATTTAATAAAGGGCAATAATACACTTAATTAAAACAGAACTTTTTTTTATTCATCCTTTCAAACCTGTATATGCTGATAAATGGAATAAAAACATTTATTTCGCAAATTTAGTTAAATCTGGAAGATCATGAAAACGTGAGCCTTAAATGTTAATGTTAATGCAGACTTAAACATATTACGAATTGTAAGAAAATGTGAACCTTTAACAGCATAATGTCTGAATTAGTACTAAAACAATTAATCGGATTGATCGGGAATAATCGATTATTGAAATAATCGTCAACTAATTTAGTAATCGATTAATCGTTAACTGGAGTATGGAGACTCTAAAACATGCCTTTAGCTGACAGAGCAAACGACTCGTAATTATACCAAATTGTAAAAAAAAAAAAAAAAAAAAAACCATATACATATATAATATAAATAAATAAATCTCTTAGTCCGTCAATATGCTCTACCCTGAACTGCTGGAAAAGTTTTAGTTTCCTCTCATTTAAATTCTGTAAAAACTATTCTTTAACTAGCTATCTGATATTTAATGGATAAATTGAAAAAAATAATCAACAGCAAAATGATCGTTAGTTGCAGCCCTAGTATGAACATAAGCCATTGAGTTTTGGGAAAATTCGTCATTAAAAAGCAAAGTTAAATCCTTTGAAATATACAATGTCCAGTAATTGGAATATTGACAGTTATTATGCATTTTATCATGGGCAATATGCAATTACAAATTAAGATAATGTTGCTATTCGTCTCTTTTTTATTTTTACATTTTTTTTTTTTTTCGAAATTACATCAACTTTCAAAGGGACAAACTGACGAAAATCAATTAGAGGCTAATACCTGAGAGATTCTATGTATTTGTATTAATATTGATGCCTACTCCCAACTACAATAAATCAAAACAAAATAATCAAAAGTTTGGAATTACAGTTCTTTTTAACTTTTTGTAAATTTCGCTTTATATAGGATTCAGAACCAACTAATTGTTACCAAATTAAGAAAAGTAAGGTTTATCATTAAAGGAACTAAGTTCATGAATTACTGAATGTAGTTTATCTCTTAATTTAAACTTCAATGTAGGAGGATGTAATACTAAGTTATAAAAGATGCAAATATTTTATATATAAGGTGGAAGTGGGTTAAGTGGTTTACTGTTACTAAACCACTAAAAAGTAGGGATGAACAGCTGTACATGTCAGGATGAAATGGCAGCAGTATCCCTTTATCTTTCTGTTATTTTTACCTTTACCACTTAATAATAATAAACGTGGAACACATTTTGTGCTCAGACCTGGTGTTCAGGTTCCTTAAATGTAGATTTCCATAAAGGCAAAGAACAACAATTACTGAGAAAAGCTCACTGGTAGTAGCTCAGGTCTCTGTTGGTGCGAGGCACATCTTTGTCAATAATTCGTATGGCTTCTCGCAGCTCCTCCAGGTCAAACTTCACACGTTCAAAAAGTATCTTTCAAGAGAAAAAAACATGTCATGATTATGTAAAATTGAACAGATGTTAAAGCCATTACTCCAAACACTGTTGTTATCTAGCTGCCATCTTTCAGAAATTGTGTGATTTCAGGTGGTTGTTTGGCAAAAATTATGTTCGTTTCTGCAAACTCCTTCATATAGAAAAGAGTAGAGGACTAAAAGCTGTGGCATGAGACGATAGAACCCTCTTAGCTAAAGCTACCTCACCTTCAGGCTACAGCAGAAGCTAAATAACACAGAGTAAATAATGGCAGCTTGTTTAAGTACACTGCAAAAACAATCTGAAATTAAGTAAAAATGTCTTAAATCAAGTGTATTTACCCTTAATTTGAGCAGGTAAATAAGATAGTTTGCCAATGGAATGAGTAATTTTACACTTAAAATAAGATATTTAGATAATATGCACTTGAAATAAGACAATGCAATTGATTTTTCTTATTTTAAATGTAAATTGTCTTGTTCCATTGGCAAAATGTCTCATTTATCTCCTCAATTCAGGATAAAATGCACTTATTTTAAGAAAAAATGACTCATTAAGATTTACATTTTTTGCAGTGTAGATTAGATCCTGTTTGGTTACTAGATAAAGTATTCTTCTCCAAGGATAAAAGAGCTTAAACTATTCCAAACTGTGAGGGTTATTAAGAACGACAGTAGAACATATTTCAGCTTAAAGCTGAAACTAGAATAGATGAAAGGTAGAAATATAAATAAAAATTTAATTCACCTGCGCTTGAAGCTCTAAGAAGGCGAGTCTGTCCTTTACTTCCTCAGACTGATCCTGGGCCTGCTGCAGGGTTTGGGCCTCCCTCTCATCAAAGTACCGGACAGCTGCAAACAACTCAGCTGGGTTGCATCAGCACAAGGGTTTAACCAACAGAAAGAAAACAAGGGTTGGAGGTGGGATGGATTGGGTCAAAAATAGCCAGAATGTGAAGAAAAAAGACCACCTTTGGCACATGTTGGGATCCTTACCATCAGTACCGTTGAGCTGTAGCCGAACCGTTGAGGGGAGAAACTGCTGCCACTTCTTTTTCATGACCCGATAACGCACCAACAATTGCTCCTGCAGGAAAGACCGCTCCAGTGCAGTGGAGCTGCATGGGTACATGCCAAACAGGAAACGCCATGCCAGGCCTCTCTCTGATGGAGTCCCACCACCTAAACTCAAACAGAAGACAGTTCAATCAACTTAATACTCTAAAACTAAAAGAAGATATGCAATCCAGTCAAAAGATCTTAATCAAATCCTTTAGAATGAAGTTTAGAAATTCAGCACAGGCAGTTGACAGAGATAAGAACATTTATATTTTTACCAAGGAATATTTCTGATTGATAAATCAATATTCTATCATAGAAATATTTGTGTACCTAAGAAAGCACCTGTCTTAGTTACTTTATTACCCTTATTTTTGCTTTTAATTTACAGTAACTAGGACAGAAAGGAGGCTTGATATAGTCACAGAAAAAACATGGTTGTTCTTGGCCATCAAACTTAACTGGTGTTTACGAACAGAGTAAACTTTATTCCATGGTGCACAGAGAATAATTACAAAATAAATGGAAAAATATCTAAGGAGGATGGCTGGCACCTTTATTACGCTGGATCCACATTTACATCAACTCTAAGCACTTTCTCTGTCCCTGCTGAAGAACTGTACACATAATAATGCCACCTCCACTGTGTTTTTAATTGGGAGAATGGTACACTATGTTTACATGGGGAATGTACACTTTTAGTTCTAAACTAAACATATAATTAGTGCAATTATTGCTGTTCTTTCAGTAAGGGAAGCCTCCAGGACCATTTCAGTGATTCATTTTATAGCTGGGTGATGAGGACCAAGAATCATTTCTTAATATTTTCAAGCTGAATGGTGATACGCAATAATTATGTTAATATGATGTTTTCTTATACGTTTTGTACAAATGACACGGAGGGGCATTTTTTTAAAGAACTGTTGTAGATAAACATGAAAAATGACTTCAAAACAACCCCACTTGCGTATATAAAAATATAACTATAAGACAAAATATGGGACTATCTTTATATCTATGATAAGTCATCTTACAGAATATGTCTTTGAATAACTCTCTATATTTCTTAAATCTCAACCCTTTACCTTACCAAACTTCATATCTGCAAGATGAAATACACCTTTTCTATAAAAATCAGAAAACTTTGTTTAAATAATGGATGTAAAGAGGGATAAAACATGAGAATATAATGAGAACATTGATGTTCACTAAAGCTGCCAAGATTTGATGTGTGAGTAAATACTGCCAGAGGATGGTGATGGAGTGCAACAATGTTTATGTCTGCTGATTGTCCCCGGATTGTTTTAGGCTCAAAAAGGGTTACTGTAGCTGAACACTAGGACAGACCCTTGGTGTATATTAATTTATTTTGCCATATCTGTTTTTTGCTGTTTTTTATGGGCACGTAACATCTCTGGGTCACACTAAGTTATGGCTTTATTAATTTTTTTAGATGGAAATCATCTTTGCAAAAGATTTCAGACTTTTGGTCATTTGTTTTTTCAGCCATTTTCTGTATTATTATCCAACAATAACCCTGGTGTGGGTTAAGAGCTGTATCAAAAACGCTAGTGAAAGATGGTCTTACACGATATCATTGTTCTCATGGAGAAGCAGCATTTAGTTCCTATGCTCCACTTATCTGGAAGAAACTTCCAGAAAACTGTAAAAGTGCGGAAAGCCTGAGTTCCATTAAATCAAGACTAAAAACACATTTGTTTAGGATTGCCTTCGACTGTTCTAGTTAAAAAGTTCAACTAAAACATATTTTCTTTAGTCCAACTGTTTTTAATTTTCTTTTTTGTTTCTGTTTTTTTTTTATTTTATTTTATTTTTTCCTACTTGCTTTGATTCTGTTTTATCTTCCTGTATTTTAATCATGTAAAGCACTTTGCATTGTCTTTGTACTGAATTGTGCTATACAAATAAATCTGCCTTGCCTTCTCATCACGATAGGATGATATGAGGAACTGATGCAAAAAAACTGACTCTGGAGTAGAAATATGGTAGCAGATCTGTGGAGTTAACACTGGCACAGCTATCAGTCATATTTGTGGAAGTATGGATGGTTGAACTATGCTAAATATTACTAGTTTAATTTTGAATGGTCACAAAGCATCTGATAAGCTATTGGCTACCTCAATTGTGCCTTAAGAGGACCACATGCAAGAAAGGCAGCATGGGTCCCTTTTTGGCTAAATTTAAGAAAGATTGCAATTAAAAAAATAAAATAACATCTTGCTTAATGCATGTTCATTTATTAACACGTTTATCTAGAGTTAGAGCTGGAATGTCAGTGAGGCCTCAGAAAAGGAGGGTAAGCTGTGACATTCCTCCTAACAGGCATGTGATGTTGCACCCAGCAGCCTCTCATGTCTTCCATCTGTTTCCCCATGAATAGTTTTGAGGTTGCCCAGTTGGTCCAACTTACACAGAAGGTCAAACGTACAATCTTCATTACAGGAAACCTCAGCTGAAGCGTGTGGCTGCTCCATGTTTCTCATACAAACATGGACTGAAGAAATTCTTCAGTCCATGTTTGTCAGAAACTCTTTAAATATACATAGAAATTGTTTTATCATGGTGATCATGCTGGGCTTCTTTTCCTGAGGGGAATCTGATGTACGTACAAAGAAATCTAAGACTTTTGATAAGAATAGTTTGATTGTGAGTCAGCTAACACGCCTGAAGCAAAGCATCACTTGACATCCTCTTGGCTGCGATCAAAGGGTCACAGTGAACCTAAAGAAAGCTAATATTTGTTCATTTATATAGACAGCACACCATGTGCCAGAAAAATTAAAAGCAGGAAAAAAGATTTCTAAGATGCATACTGATTTGAAAGTATACTGTTTACTATTATATGAATATTTGGTATTTTACTGCTATATACATCATTGATTATTAAGGCGTTAAAATGCATGCTCCTCTAGTCAGCTTTATAAAGCATTTATAAAAAAACAAAAACGCTAGGTCGAGAAAATCTGAATTGAAATAAAAGTGAATCTCAAATGGTTTGAGACACTTTATCTATTCAAAATGGAGCAAAGACACCTAAGATAAACATATGTTCCATAATTTGGTGTGTTGGTGATCCCAAGAATTTTTACATTTATAATGTAAAATGTTTATGCTTTATCAGAAGCCAAATCTCTGACAAATTCTAAATGATGCAAAAAGAACATAGATTAACTCTGAAATATAAAAGCCTTTGCTAAACCCAATGTAAATAAGTTATATGAATGTTTGGTTGATACAATTCAGACTGAAATTCAGTGTTATATGAATCATTGCAACCTTAAACATCTTTCCAACAAAGTAGATTCAAACCTGCGATTTTTTTTTTCTATTTGTAACCAAACTAATAATATTTATAGTGACCGACCGTTTCTGAAGATGTGGCCCCTCAGCCTTGACTCATCAACCCTCCCTTCTGCGTCCATGACCCCGGCTAAGGTAAGCCGACAGGCGGACAAAGCGGGAGCGCTCACTGCTGCCACCCGCCTCCGACAGCGCCCCTCCGCCTGCAGCCCAGGCTTCCCGTTGGGACTCTCTTCCATGCTTGTGTGCAGATTTAGCGATCACACCTAAAGATTTGCTGTGTCCAAGTCAACAATACTTCAATCATCCTTCTTATCTGAGGGGATAGCAGAAATCGGCCGTGCCTACGCTCCCCCACCAGGAAGATCCAGATCACAAAAACACAAGAATTATCCCCAAGAAGTACTTCTGCTGTTTTTCTTCCATTCTTGCAATTAGAAGTCATATGACTGTACCTTTAAAGTTTAACCCACATTCCAGGTGGAGTCCCTCCTATGATCCAAAGTTCACTGCGGAGTAAGGTGAACGTTCCACTAACCCCATCTAGTGGTAGTGTAGAGTAATGACACCAATACGTCAACATTGGCAAACATGATGCTTAATATAAGTTTAATTCACCATATTAGTAGGATACCAATAATAAGTATAATTGAAACAACGTATTGTGCAACAGTTTTTTTTTACAGCAAAAACGAAACTATTTATATTTTTGTATGCCCGTTTGCCTACTTTGCCTACATGTTATGAGTTTATAGGATAAGATCCAACCAGTTGCATATAGCTGTGCTGCTGTAAATGTTTAATGTTACAAATATAAAAGCATAGACATGATTTGTTTTATGTGAGACTGTTTACACGATTTAAAGGTCAGTGGAATATTACATATTTACTTAAATAGTTAAACTAAAGGAGGCCAACACAGGGGCTGAGCTGCATTAAAAAGTTTGAAAACATTGGAAGAGTCTGAAGCGGTCTTTTTCAGGATAACCCTTTGCATAAAATCAACATGAAAATATTACCTTAACGCTTACTTAGATTTTATCTATAAAAAAAAAATAAATAAAATAGTGAATTAACGGATTGAAAGAAAGTGTTGGGAGCTGGAGAAGTACCACCTTCCTCCAGCAGAGTCTGCCATGGATCCTCCTGAGCCGAGCCTCCTGCACAGCTGAAGCTCATCCCATCATCAGAGGATCCACAGTATTTAAGCTGTCTTCAGACCTTGCCTCAACGCCGCAGTGTTTAATCCAGCTGGTTAGCACCTAAGCCTAGTATCGCTGAGAACCTTCGTTGACTTTTGAATCCAGACTGGATTCTAACCCTTGTCTCTGCTTTCAGGAAACCTGTTTTTCTCCTGTGAAGCTCTGGAAGAGCTTAACCTGCCGAACCTGCCCTCTGAGCCAAACCTGAAGACTCCTCTCTGGATTTCCATGCAGCTCTGGACCAAGAGCTGGAAACTCAAAGCCAAGGTCTGCTCTCTCTCTAGAAGTAAGACGCTGAAGTAGTTTACAGACTCTGCTGAACAAACTCTCTGGACCCAACAGTTTCCCTCTCAAGGCTTTAACCAAGAACCCTCAAGGTACAAACCAGAAACTCTCTGAATCAAACTCTTTTGATCAAACGCTAACTGAATTTTCTCCCACGCAGACTCCAGTGAACCAGTTTCCCAGACATGAACCAGAACCAGTGAAATATCTTGTGCTTGTGACAATAAACTTTGTTAAACCTTTTACTTCAGTTTCCGTCTCCGTGGTGTTCTGCATAATTGGGTCTCACTAGAGAACCCATCATGACAGAAAGTAGGGGGAAATTGTTTTAAATCTGAAAACTATTGCGTCTGAAAGGTTTCTCCATTTTTATTATTAGTAAATAAGTTTTGTTAAACAAATCCTCCTAGTTGTGAAAAGCTCTGATAAAGTTTAAGACCTAAATTATAAGCACTTTAAAGATCATATGAAGCACTGTTCAGTCCATCACAGAAAAACTGTATACATGGCAAAACATAAAGGCTGCGTCTCAATTCGCAGGCTGCGTACTTGGTAGTACGCATTTTGAGGGGTGACAAAAAATAAAAAAAATATAATTATTTAATTAAAAGAAATTTACTTAACTTAAACTTAAACTCCGAATTTACTCCAAACCCCCAAAAACCTGCCCCAACCCCCCTAAAAAATTTTCCCCAACTCTCCCATCTCAAACCCAAAACCAGAAAGCCCCCAAAAACATTCCCCCAAGGGCCCCCCCTTGGTTTTTTCCCACCCCCCAAGCCCCTCCCCCCCCAAGTTACCGCTAAAACCCTTCCCCCCCCCTTTGAACCCAAACAAAACCCCTTTAGGCCCCTTTGGGGAAACCTTTTTCTCTTAAGCCCCTATGGAAAAAAAAACCCTTCCGAACCCCCCCTTTAAACAAACGAAACTCCCCCCTTGGATTTCCCCTTGGGGGCACTTTACCAAAAAAACCCAAAAAAACCAAGGGTTCCCTCCCCTTAAAATTTTAAAAGAAGCCCCCTTTTTTAATTTTAAAAAAGGAAATGGGCCTGAACTAAACCCCTACCCCCCCCCAAAGTTTCCCTCTCCCCCAAACCCTTTCCCCCCCCCAACAACCCCTACAAATACAAACCAAACCTCCCCCGAATAAAATTTCCCCGAAAAAACCCCCCGAAACCTAATTTTCCCCCACCAAACCCATAACCCATTTCCCCGGGGCATAACCCCCAAATAAATACCCCGGTGTTCCCCCCCAATAAAACCCCCCGGAAACCCCTTTTCCTTCATTTCCCGTTTTCCTTTTTCTCCATTAAAGGGTCTCCCCAAACCCCCACCTAAGAAAAGAAAAAAGAATTTAAACCCTAAAAAACTAGTCCGGCCAAATTTTTCCCATTTGATTTTTAAAATAAAAAAAAAATTTTTTTAAACAATTCCTCCCATTGGGAAATTTCCTTAAATTTTAAAAAGCCCCAAAATTATAAAAACCTTTAAAAAAATTTCATAGGTAATTTCACCCAAATTAAACAAAAAAATATATTAAAATCAAAACCCCCAAAACCCCTCCAACCCCCCAAACTCCCCCCCAAACCAAAACCCCCACTCCCCAACCCTCCACCCCCCTTTCCCCAAAAACCCAAACCCCCCCCTTTAAAAGAAAACCCAAAAATTCCCCCTTTTCACCCAAAACCCCCTAAATAAACCCCCCCCCCCCCCCAAACCACCCCCCCCCATTTAACCCCCCCCATCCCTTCCACCCTTTTTTTTTCCCCTTTTTTTTTTTTATATTAAAAAAATTTCCCAATTACCCCCAACCCCCCCCAAACCCCAAAAACCCCACAAAACAAAAATTTCCCCCTTTAAAAAAAAGGGTTTTTTTTTTTTTTTTTTTTTAAAAACTTTTAAAAAAACCCCCTAACCCACCACAAAAATTTACCCCATTTAAACCAAAACAACCTGTTAGAATATTATAAACCCCCAAAACAATAAAACCCCCCCAAAATCCCCAAAAATTCCCCCAAAATTTTAAATTTTAAACCCCAAAATTTTCTTTTGGGAGCCTTTTTCCAAAATCAGATTTATTTTTTCCCTAAAATAAAAATGTTTTAAAACAAAAGTTTTAAAAATTTCCGGTTAAATTAATCAATCCCCCAAAAAACCCCCCCCTACCCCCCCAAAACCCCAAAACCCCCCCTTTGGGAAAACCCCCCCAAAAGTATATTTAACCCAGAAACAAAATAGGGTTTTTAAAAATTAATTTCCCCTTAAAAAACCCCAAATACCCCCCTAAAACAAACACCATTTTCCCCCCCTTTTCATCCTTTTCCCGAAATTTTTAAAAACCCATATTTGAAAGGGGCCCACCCCCAAAAATTTTAAAAACCCCCCCTTCCTTTCCCCCCCCGGGAACAAAAAAAACCCCCCCAACACATAAAATTTGACCAAATTTCCACGGGTGCTTTCTTTTTAAAAAAAACCCCCCCAAAAAAACCCAAATTAAACCCCGAAGTCCCCAAAAAAACCCAACCCCCCCAAATAAAAATTTTTTTTAAAAAACCCCCCCCCCAAAATCTCAATCCCCCCCAAACCCCCAAATTTTTGTAAAAACCCCCGGGGACAACCCCCCCAAAAAAAACCCAAAACCCCCGGGGATTAAATTTAAAGGCCCCCAAACCACCCCCCAACCCAAAAACAACCCCAAAAATTTAAATAATTAAAAGGTTTAATAAAATTTTAAAATAAATGGGTTTAAAATTTTGGGGCCGCAAATTTTGGTGTTTATTTTTTTTTTATATATATTTTGTTTTATATATTTTTAATATAAAATTATTTTAAAAATTAATTTTTATATATATTTTATATATGTTTTTAATTTTATATTTATTATATATATTTTATATATGTGTATATGTGTATATATATATATAAAATATGTGTATATGTTTTAATTTTTATAAAATTTTGGTATATGTGTATATATATTATAAATGGTTATATATTATTGTGAAATAAAATATATTTGGTTATATTTTTTATATATTTTATATATTATATATATGTGTATATATTATTTATTTTATATAATATATTTTTTAATGTGTATTATATTTTATATTATTTATTATAGTTATTATAATTTTATATATATATATATGTTTTTATATTTTTTATATATTTATATATTATTTATTGTGTTTTATTATATATATTAAAATATATTATATTGTGTAATATTTTTAAATTTTATATATTATATTTTTTTGTGTATATGTTATTAAAAATATATAGATATATATATATATGTGTATATGTTATAAAAATTTATATATATGTTTTATATGTGTATATATATTATATATATTTTTTAATATAATAGTAATATATTTTATTATGTTATATATATATATGTGTATTATGGGGTTATATAATATTATTTTATATATATATTTATGTTTTATATTTATATTTATATGTGTGTATTATAATATATTTTTTTTTTAATATTTTTATATTTATATATATATATGGGGTTTGTATTTTTTTATATATATATTTTTTATTTTATTTTTATATATTTGTTATATTTTATTATATATATAATATTATATATATATATTATGTGTAATTTAAAATATTTTAATATATTATATATAAAATATTTTTATATAATATATATTTATTTATATTTTTTTTGTTTTGTATTATATTTTTTGTGTATAGTGTAAAAATATATATATATATATATATATTATTTATATATTGTATATGTGTATTATATATATTTTTATTATTTTATATTTAATTATATATATATTGTGTTTATTTATTTAAAAATATATATTTTAAATATATATAAATTTATATGTGTATTTTTTATATATATTTTATTTTTATATATATATATAATATTTTTGTTTTTATATTTATATAATATTTTTATGTTTTTAAATTATATATAATGTTTTTATATATATAGGGATATGT